ATCACGTATTATTTTTAATTTTATTCATTTTGAAATATTCACTCCGGACAACGTACAAATTAAATATTTTACCAGAATTTTTCGTCACTTAATAAAGTTGATTAAAATTGCATTCATTAACTCTATCTTCTGTTGGTTACAATCAAACGTTAGATCTTCTTTTTTTAAATATTTTTCATTTACCAAAATTAAAATATTGCAAAATTGAATATGAAACTAAAGATTATGATTATGAACTATTTCAACTTAATTTAACTCAACGTGATTCAAGTTCTATTGAATGTTTGATAATAAACAGTCGATTTCCATTGAATAAATCTCATAATTTATTATGCTGTCTTTCCAAACTTCAACATTTATCAATAAATTCTCTTGTTCTATCTCTTCCTTATGAGGAACAAGAAAAATTATCGCATACTGAATGAAAATATTTAAAATATGTCTCAATTAAACTTGATTTAATATCTTTTAAACAATTTGAAAACATTATCAAAAAAGTTTTTTATCATTTTCAAGTTCTATGTCTTAAAACACGTTGTGATAAGGTCTGCTTAAGAGAGAATTCGCCAGTCAGTCGAGCATTCCTCAATGAAGTCATTTTATGAAGAAAATTAACATATATATTTTTCTCCATCACCCGATTCCCCATGGAAAAATAAGTTTATGAAAAAAGTTTTAGGCTTCTACGACGGTTTTTGACCGAGTTATATACTTTAAAACGGGAAGGGGGTCTGAGAAACGCGAAAAGCTAACCTTTTTTTTGTTTTGTCATTATCTCGGTCATTTTTTATCTATTCTGGTCGGGAGATATCTCATTCAAACGAGCACGTAAAAAGTCTACAAAATCATACCTTTTAGTGTTTTCTTAAACAAGTGTTGATGTTAAAAAACTTCAAATTGTTTTAATGAATTTGTTTCAACGTAACCCGTTTTCTAGTAAGATAAAAGACTCAGGAGAAACTTTAATTCAGTGTGCCTTGAAGAGCATTTCTTCCTCTACAAATCCCAAATAAAGAGTTTGAAAAAAAAGTTTTAGCAATTGCCCCAAAAAAACTGAAAAAAGACGTTCACTGACATGAATTTGAGCCTTTTTGGCGTTTTTTCCAGCCGATTTCTATTATATAAATGATGATTTGATCAAAACTAATATCATAGTTCGAATCAGCATAAAAAGCTGAGTCGGCTTATATGCATTTCAGATACTTTTGATAAATTTTTTTTCGTTGAAAATTGACCCCTAGTTCCCCTCAGGATTGGACCAAAAATGAATTTCACCAAAAATTTATTTTAGAGCAGGTAAACAGGTTCTAAACTCACGAAATTATGATAGAACACATATTGGGGGTGGGTGCTGTTATATTCTTTACCAACAATCACATCCACACAGCCTTTCTAAAATTTCCAAAATTCTGTGCGTAGCGAGATTTCCGAAATTATAGAAAATTCTAAAATTTCTAAACCTTCCAATATTTCCAAAAAAATTTCATTTGCTTTGCTATATCGTTATCGAGTTAATGGAAGCTTCGGATATTTCTGTAATATTCTTTTTCAGAAATCTGTACATGCCTCATATCCAGGATAAGCAATCAACACGTACAGTCTCATACATTTCTAAGACGTAGGCAAATGTTTGAAGAAAATAGCTTGAAACTCAACTTGAATAGGCTTCATCTATGACTTGAATATCTCTATACAAAATCATTATTTGATGAAAGGTTAAAAGTTTATTTTTGGACGACTATGGTATCACATTACAGCTGATATTGGTCTAAATTAGTAAAGGTTTTAACGTCGATATAATAAGTATCACCAGTTTCTTTTAGTATATATAGATAATCTTATATAGTTATCGACGATTATTGATCGCAATACAAAAAAATGGAGAAATTTTAAAGAAAAAATGGGATGGTTGTAGGAAAGATAAATTGAGGAAGTTCAAAAAATTAAGATTTTACAACAAAAAACCACATCAAAATTTTTTTTTCTTGAATATATGCTTGTTTATTTTTGATACTTTGTTTATGATAAGAGTTTCAGGTTGATCAACTGTGCCCGTCTTCAAGAACTAAACATGTTCAAACAAAAAAAAAGGGAAATACTCTTAACGTATATACTATCATCTATTCGACTTTTTCTTGAGAAGCAAATCGATTAATATACTGAGAATTGCAGATTATAATATGGCTCCGATCTGACTAAATTTTGATCGAGTTTGTTAGCATACATTAGTGAAAATCAGTTGTTTGTAAAATACAACGATTCTAGAGTATTTCGTTGTATAAACATAAAAGCAATGTGGACAATATAGATACCATAAGCGCTCGTGTTCTATCCTTCTCCCTCTTGCATTTTTTTTTTATTCTTTTCTTACTCACTTTGTGTACTTTAAACATAACGATAAAAAGAATTCTTCAAGTAACTTGTTGCCATGTATATAATATTTGTTTTTCTCTTTTACTACCTTAGTTAATTTCAACACAATATTCTTCAAAGAGATTGAATAACACGTCACTTTCAGCCTTATAATCAAGAAATATTCTATAACTGACAGAATTTCTTGTATTGCTCTATTCCCTACAAAAAACGGCATGTTCAACTATTGAAGACATCTAAATATATTCAACACATTTTTTTTCTCTTGCGTTCTTTATGTTGTCAAGATAGTTTTGTTAATGCGAAGAAACATGTGAGGAAACAACATCAGAGCAGCTACGCAGGACGTAATTGTTTCTATTGTCGCGCTATATAATTAGTTTGCGAGTATTCAAACTGTTGAAATTACAATGTTTTACATGCTATTTTTTTTCTCTTGTTCACAGTATATCGGGGCTTTGTTAATTATGTTTATTTGATCTATTTCTTACAGACTATTACACATAGCTCGAAGTAAAGTCATAGGTTTGCTTTCATCTCTATTTCTAAGTGCATCCAATTCAAAAAACGCGAAATGCTCAAACATTACGTAAGAATATATATCATTACATTATCCTTCTTTTCAGAGGCAAGCAACGAGTTTCGAAATCAGACAATCATTTTCAATTCCGTAGCATTCGTATTCTTTATTTTGTGACGAATTTAATCGTTAAAGGATCGAATTTATATCTTGATGTTCGATATGCCCAGAAGATACGCAATCAATAAATGAATAACGAAAGGTATACTTTCTTCTTGAATATATCAAGAAGACGTGTCAACAAAAACCTCGTACATATTTTGTAGTTATAGTTTGTTCAAAGTTTTGCTTGTCGGTGATTCAGAAGTTGGTAAAACAGCCCTTTTGATGCGATTAACCGTAAGCATTTTCCATGTTTCTCTTATAAAATCTATCATGATTTTCACTTAGGATAACACTTTCAATGAGAGTTTTATACCAACTATTGGTGTCGATTTTGTAAGAATTGTTTAATCTTGATAAATATTAATCATTACTCGCAATTCATTTTTAGACAATTCATGTGATTAAGAATGACAAGCAAACAAATAAATTGCAAATTGTAACTAGTCTTTGTATTGCAATGATGAATAAATCTATTTGAATCTTTTAGTGGGATATATCGGGTCAAGAACGATTTAGGACGATTACAAGTAATTTTTATCGAATCATTTCTTTTAGATACTCGGCAAACTTGTTGGATTATTTTTTAAAATATGAACTTAGCAGAATCTTTCTAGTGAGAGCCAATTAGTTCAAACGAGAGTTCTGTATACTACACAGAACTAATGCAATCATAAATATGATAATACATCTTATTGAATTTTGTGTTTATGTTCCGAAGACGTCTAAAAACCAGACAGCATTTTATTAATTGAGTATCTGAAAATGTTTGAAATTGTTCTGATGACATGAATAAATTAGAAAAGCATAGGTCACGTAAACTTCTTCGTATAATTAATATACGAATGAACAAAAGTATTTAGTATACCACGCTCAGAGTTCATCTGCAAATTGCCTTTAATTAACATATAAAAAACAAAGAGTCCATATGGGTATATATGTGTAATTCTTCATACATTCATGTTAGAATCAGACAAAACAGGCGAACATTCATATCCAAGCAGTCATTCGATGGGTATTTCGAGGTGTCGATCTTAACCATCCGATGGGTTCATGAAATTAAGAATTGTTCACTTATCGTCGTCCCTCGACCTATCGGAAAATGGCACTCCGACGTGTCGAAATAGTACTTCGATGCCCATCGAAAGACCCTTCTCGATGAGTTCCGATGAGTCCGATTGGTAGAGCATCGCGAGGGATCGAAATTTCGAGCCCTCGACATTTCCTTAAAATTTCAAAAAAATGTTTGTTTCCTCTCTCTCATTTTTTCGAGCCCTCGATGCCTATCGGATATATTTGCAGAAGAGAAGATTCGAACATATGTACTTACGATTGCATTGCTTGCATAGATCAGATGAACTAAACATAACGGTTTAATTTGAGATAAATCTAAGTATCATCATGAAATATGTTTAACTTCTATATTTTTCTATTTGTTTTAAAAATAAATTTAATGGAATTTTTTCAACAGCAACTGGCGGCATATATATTGCTATTGTTGATGTTAGATAAAACGATTTTATCTGTTATCAGTTTCATTGTATTAAGTACAAAAATTATGCTAAAGCATAAATTAATTACAGTGAATTAGGTTATGTAAAAAAAATATAATAAAAAAATATTGAAACTAGAATTAGACAAACTCGACTTATCTATCCCTATTATGTTTATAATATTCAACTATCTCAAAAATTTTGAGAAATAAAAAATAAAGTGATAGTTTTAAATGATCTCATGAACTTTTTTTTGTCAATGAACAATCAAAAATCAGAGTTAGTCAAGAGCTCAGAACATTTGGGATGCTATGAAACTGAATTCATTATGATTATTTTTCTCTCAGCACTGTCAACATATTTCTATCATTGTTGTAATTTTAAATGATAAATAACATTGTTTAAATGATCAAACTGCGTGAAAACATCTATAGAAAACCAAAACTCTCTAAATGGATCATGCCATAAGGGTAAAAAAAATCATTCAACAACTGAATTTCTGAGACACTTTTAGCAATCAAAGTTAAAACGAACAATTGAAATTATGCTTTTCGATAGGTCTGTCTCACCAAGCACTCGATATTTCGATTAGCTTTCACTAATCGATATCGTATTGAGTAATCGGAAATATCTTTTCGATGGGCTTCCTGCCTTAGAGTAGTCGAAATTTCGATAGATTTCGAGTTTTTGAAACTAGTCCGAGGAGTCGAAAATGAATGCACGATGGGAAAATATTTCCGACAGATCGATAGTTTGATGGGTTCCGACTGATCGGAATCATATCGAGTAATCGAAATGATCTTTCCGATAGGCCTTCACACTTCGAGTGGTCCATTTTTCGATGGTTTTCGAGCGGTCGAAATGCGTTCGAGGAGTCGAAAATAAATGTGCGATGGGAGAATACTTCCGAGGGCTCGAAATTAGAACAGAACGAAAAAAAAATATATATATTCAAGTTTCGACCACTCGTCGCACCCATCGTTGACGTTTTAGGATCTGCTTGGGTAATGAGACTTTCTATTTTGTTTAAAAAAGAATGCGTCAAGAATTTTATTTCTGATGATAAGTTCAAGAGGCTTCAAAATTCTGTCTTTAGTTGCTTTTCTTTCATCTTATTTTTAGGTGCTTATTATCGAGGGGCAAATGGCATTATCATTGTCTTTGATGTTACCAATGTAGTATGTAATTGGGATCAATCTTTTTCAACTAAAATGGGCTTACATTATTTAAGGAATCGTTCGATCATATCCACAGATGGTTAGACGATGTTGATCAAAATGCAACTAATGATGTAAAGAAATTGTTGGTTGGTAACAAATGTGATTTAATAGCTGAGAGAGTGATCGAATATGATAAAGCTAAAGTATGTAAGAAAGAAATCGAGCATATGAATTTATGTAAAAATACGTAAGGCTTTCTATTCTCTTTTTCTTGAAGGAATTTGCTGATTCATTGAATATTCAATATTTGGAAACCTCAGCAAAAAATTCAACTAATGTTGACGAAGTATTTAAGAGCATAGGTGATGAGCTCATATTAACTACATTATCAGTACCAATAAAGTCACCAAATATTGATGATATATCTCATGTAAACACAGTGGAGAGTAGAACAACGATAAGTACTGACTAGTAAGTCATTCCTCTTAACACATAGAAATGTTTGTGTGAAACAGCAGCAAAACTGCAAAATTGCATTTAGTGATTATCTACTGAAATTGCTACTCATCGGGGATTCGGGTGTCGGTAAATCAGCCATTTTGAACCGTTTCTCTGTGAGTAGTATTATTGATTCTTTTTTAATTGAAAAATAATATTTTTCTCGTTCAGGATGATAGTTTCATGGATAGCTTCATACCGACAATTGGTGTTGATTTCGTAAGTTATTTTCTTCTTCAACGAAATAAATAAGTATTGTCTATGATTCATTTATAGAAAATTCGTGTAATTGAGAATAATGAAAAAAAAGTTAAATTGCAAATTGTAATTACTCTCATTGTATAGCGACGAGATACAAATTGTATTTTTTTCTTTTAGTGGGATACAGCTGGTCAAGAACGTTTTCGATCCATTACAAGTAAACTTATATTCTTTATCATATGGATTTGAAAGAGAAACTTTAAGCTATACTTTTTCTCAAAACATGACTCATTGTATACGCAGAGATATGACACTAATGAGCGACACTATGACTGTAGCTATTTGAAAAAAGGCAAAAATTTCATCAGTTTGAATACTCTAACTTTGTGGAAAAACTAAGCATCTTAAGCTGCACTTGTTCATTTTCAAGGATGAATTAAAAAGTCTTTCTCTGGAAACACCTTAAAGACTGGATGGAATGTTTCGATAGAAGACCTCATTCTACTTTATTTTTAGGTTCTTATTATCGAGGTGCACATGGCATTATTATAGTCTTTGATCTTACTGATGCAGTACATAATCAGAAATGAGTTTCTTTTCAACTAATAATAACTTGTTTTGTTGAGGAATCGTTTGATCATATACACACATGGTTAGAAGAAATTGATCGATATGCAAACAACACTGTAAAAAAACTCCTGGTTGGGAGCAAATGTGATTTGGCATCTCAGAGAGTGATCGACTATGATAAAGCAAAAGTATTGAGGAAAAAGATCGAGCAAAGGAATTTGTATAAAAATCTATGATATTTTCTTTTCACTGTTTCTTAAAGAAATTTGCTGATTCGTTGAATATTCGATATATGGAAACCTCAGCAAAGAATTCAACTAATATTGACGAAGTATTCAAGAGTATAGGTGGGGAGCTCATATCAAATACATCACCATTACCAACAGAGCCACCAAAAATTGATAATATATCTCATGTGGAAACTATCAACAGTACGACGACGGTAAATGCTAACTAGTAAGTTGTTTTTTTAAGCAAAACAAATTATTTGTGTGAAATAAGAACAGAAAATGCGTCAATACATTTAGTGATTGTTTGTTGAAATTACTACTAATCGGTGATTCGGGTGTAGGCAAATCAGCCATTCTGAATCGTTTCTCTGTCAGTAATATTATTTAGTTTTTTGAGTTGAAAAATAATCTTTTCTTCCTTCAGGATGATAGTTTTACCAAGAGCTTCATATCGACGATTGGTGTCGATTTCGTAAGTTTTTTTCTTCTTCAATAAATATAACTGAGTATCTTTTATGATTCATTTGTAGAGAATTCGTTTAATTGAAAACGATGGAAAAAAAGTTAAATTGCAAATTGTAAATACTCTCATTACGTGGCGGTGACATGCAACTTGTATTTTTCATTTTAGTGGGACACAGCTGGTCAAGAACGCTATCGATCCATCATAAGTAAACTTACATTCTTTTTTATTGAGTTGATATTGTCTATATCCTTTGTCATATGAATATACGAGAGAAATTTTCACATATACTTACTCTCAAAAATCAGATTATCCTGAATATTTAAACTCTGTAGAAAGTGTCAACGTTTAAGACTAGACATGTTCGTTTTTAAAGATCAATACAAAAATTTCTTACTGGCAACATTCTAAAGATTGAATGAAATGTTTCGATAGAAGTTGTTGTTCTATTTCATTTTTAGGTACTTACTATCGAGGTGCAAATGGGATAATTATAGTCTTTGATCTTATCGATGCAGTATGTAATTCAGATGATCTTCTCTTTTCAACTAACCACAGATTTTTTTGTTGAGGAATCATTCGATCATCTCGACATATGGTTGAAAGAAATTGATCAATATGCAAATAACGACGTAAAGAAGCTGTTGGTTGGTAACAAATGTGATTTGATAGCTGAAAGAGTGATCGATCATGATAAAGCGAAAGTATGTATAGAAGAGATCGAATTGTCGAATTTATATAAAAATGAATGAGCTGTTTTATTAACCTTTTCTTTAAGAAATTTGCTGATTCATTAAATATTCGCTATATGGAAACATCAGCAAAGAATTCGACTAATATCGAACAGATATTCAAGATCATGACCACTGAGATCATGTCGAATGTAATGCCAGTCCAGTCAACAAAGACAAGTGTGAATGTCAGTTCGCATGATGCAAAATCAAAAACCTCTAGTGGATTCTGTTGAAAAGAATGGTGGATCACGCTTAAGTTTCATGCAAATATACTGTTGTTGTACTGCTTTGCTATTTATTTTCATGCATTGTATAAATTATTCGTTTAATTTGGAAATTTGAATGTGTCAAAATATTTTGTTATGAAAAAAAAACGGATTGACTGTACACATAGAAACACACGTGCGTCACACAAATGAAGTCAGCAGCTAATTTGGAAACAGTATGATTCCATGTACATTATTAAAATTTTCGTTTTCAAGAGTGTTGGCCCATACTGCCAAGTAAACACTTCAAATATTCTACTTTGACCTTGTAGTGGATTGTGATGAAAATAACAAACAAGTTTTTTGCCAGCTGAAATCGTCGATTGTGTTGAAAACTTTTAATCATGCTACAAGCATTTTATAAATGAAAATAAGTCCATTGTAGCATGACACAAACATTGGTTTAAAAAACATGCTTCAACCAAGCACACAGACGCCATGTAATTAATATCTGGTGGAAAACCCTCACGTTTTAGTAATAAAAAAATTCACTTCATGATCAGTACCACAATGAATTTTTAATGTACTCGATACATTTCTAAGACTAAAAAACTAGAGTTTAGAAGCGATAATATGTATCTGTCCATCTGATGCATGTTTTTGAAACCATATTCTAGCTAGTGTTGCCTGGATTTATTTTCATTTTGATTCATTTTACAGCTAGGAATATATAGTGAAATACAATCGATAACACCCGCTGAAGTGAAAGGTAAAAAACTTGGAACCCTTTTCCACATAGGTGATGACAAACAACTCAATATACTATACCATTCGTTTTGTTCAATATGCAACTGTTCCCAATGATATTTCTTGATAGTTTATATCAATCTTTGTTATATGTATCTGACTATAGCTAGTAGTTGCTCGTGTTATTTATATCATTTCATTTTTCATACATTGACTATTGACTTGTAAGGATGGGTGTGGGTGTGGGTGTGTGGGTGTGTGGCTGGGTGTGGGTGGGTGTGGGGTGGGGGTGGGGGTGGGGTGTGGGTGTGGAGTGCGGGTGTGGGTGGGGGTGGGGGTGGGGGTGTGCGTGGATGTGGGGTTTGGGTGTGGATGTGGATGTCTTTATTTAGAAGTGTTCTTCAATCACCCACACCCACACCCACACCCACACCCACACCCACACCCACACACCCACACCCACACCCACACACCCACACCCACACCCAGTTTCAACAATATCTTCTAGAGGCATATCGACATGAAACAGGATCGAAGTCGAATTCAACCCCAATTTTTAAGACTCCGCTGTTCTCCATGTTCATTCAATTATGCTTTAGTTCTTCAAGAAAAAAGACATGAAAAGTATTCTATTTGTTATGCGCTACTTCTTACATCCTTCCGTCCAATCAACTGTATTACAATATGAAATATAACAATCGATCTATACATTTTTCTAGGTCAAGCATTATTTATTGTCGATAGTAATGATCAGCTACTTTCTAAACCAGTTCAACTACTTGATTATACTTATTCATCATTACATATTTCGGATTGTGATCTTTTAACTTTTCTATACGATGAAAAGACTAATGAACAAATATTACTTACACCTGAACAATATATAATTACTATACAACAAGCTGAATTTACACCAAGAAAATTTATTACATGTATTATCAATAAAGATAAAACAGTCATATCTGAACCTATTCAACTATCTGATATTGGAATTGAAATACGACATTCAATTAAGAATATAATTTCAAATAGATTAAATTTATTTGATGGAAAACGACGTGAATGATTTACATATTTGGAATCATCTGAAAATAAAAATGAACTTTTAAAAATAATATCGGATGAATATGAATTTATTCATGCTTACATATAAAATCGACTTGATAAATTAATAATCGAAGAAAAAATCATTGAACTCATTATACCTATCTTAGGTAAAATAAATTATTTAAAAAAATATATTAACCAAATTCTGTTTTTCTATAGACAAACAGTCTGATGATATTTCAATCGATCAAATTGAATACAAACGCGAACAATTCAATATGGATAATTTTCTTAATACAATGAAATCATTTTTACAATTAGCTGAAAAATTAACTAAGCATGGAAAAACTCAAACAATTGGATCAATAGAAATTCAAAAACTTGAAAATGATCTTATTCAACAATTAACTCAAATATCTATTTAACTTGATGATCTTGAGGGTGTGGGTGTGTGGGTGTTGTTTGTTTATTAAATCACACCCACACCCACACCCCCACCCCACACCCACACAACCCCACATCCACACCCTCAAGATAGTGTTACTTGAACAAGTTCAAAGAAAGTTAATAAATGAAGTTATTGAAGCAGTGTGATTCGGTTAGCGCAAATGTAAGACTTAAGCTTGTATGATAATTTAACAATGTAAGGAACAATAATGCGAAGACTAATAGTTAGGCCACCATATAAACCTAAGATTAGTGATATGACATAAAAAGCATTCTTGCGCTCATTGACTGGATAGAGACAGTAGATCGGAGCACATTGTTGATAATACGAAAAATACGATACATTCAGATGCCACTGCTCAACAAATAGTGCATCGACAATATGCTGAATAGGAATGTTCGTTCGAAAACGACTATCCAGTGAAGCGTTCATCGCTGTTGCATTGAACGTTCTCGTCAAAATTTCTGGGTCGCCAGATACCATATAGTACTCTAGATCATCAATCCATGTTTGGTTATACAAAACTTCTAAAGTAGATCTGAGTAATATTTCCGATACTGAACAACCAAGAACCCATCCTGGCATTACCAAAGAAAAGGCATTTGGGTCAACACAATCACTTCTTGTTCCACACGAGCACTGATTGTTGATAATGACAGGAGAGGCCAAAATAGTTCTATCGCTTTGTATATCATCTAACCAGAAGTACCAATTGAAGGCATAGCTGGAGACGAATGTATTGCCATGTACAAAATCACGCACAAGTTGTATAGCATGAGAAAAGCGAGAAGCGGTATTACTTTCGAAATGACTCGTTGTGTCCGTCACCCGTGATAGAAATTGAAATTCCGATATAGCTTGTGAGCTGAGAAACGTTTTAACCTTAAACTCATCAATTGATTTCTGAATAGTTGCTTCTGCAAGCTTACATAATGTTGATAAGAGCTGAAAATAAGCACCACCACCAATGCCAAAATCGCTTCGCGCCGAAATAGTGAGATAGTCACCAATAAACAGAAATTGTATCCATGATTCTTTGACAAAATCACTGAAACATACTTGATGATATGTAAGATTAGCTGTGACAAAGTTCTCATAAGGAACAGAGATATGGCTACATGGACAGTAAACATCAGAACCATATTGCATAATCAACTCTTCATATTCTATTAAAGATGGCGTTTCAATTCTTTTCTTCACTAAAGCTGTTGGTATGACCGTACATAGGATAATCACCGTAATATTAATGAGCAGAAAAAGCAAGTAAATACGTGTTGAAGTACGTTCACGCTGAATCACATCGATCTGGGTTGATCCACTCTGGAACAGGTTTAATTTAACAAGTTTGTGTCGATATCGAGCCAATCGATCAGGTACTTCTAAAAAATACTCTTCTTTTTCTCAACAATTCATACATCTGTATTTCTTAGTACTTTAAAGGTTTATGAAAATGAGTTAAGAACTTTATAACAAACGAGGAATCTTTTTAAATCTGTTTTTGACTCATCTACTTTAGACAAATAAACAGATAACAAAAATAAATAAATGATGAGCTGTATTTTATAGATGTTGTACCAATTATGAGCATCACTATGGAATTCTATGGTGGAAATATTTATTTTAACTAGAAACATCCTCATAGTTCAATTTTTTTCTCACCAAGTCTTGTCAATCCAAAAAAAAGTAAAATGTTCAGGCAAAATATTCAAGCGAGAGTTGAAAATTAATAAGGTATTATCACGCGTATGCTTCGTTTTGCAGAGAAGGGAAATGTTTTCTTTGCAAAATGATTTTTTCCAGTTCTTTGTCATGCATTAATTTCAGGTTTCAATAAAAAGATTGATGACAAAGCTTCTTTTTTTTTATTGTTTAAAATATAATGGAGTTATTTTCACCACTTCTATATTTTTTTTTCAGATAAATACTCGCTTTTTTCTGCTTACAATTACATAGCTGAGGGTGCATTTTAAACTTACGATCGTTTGTCTCTGGTTGAATATTAGTTGTTGATGAAATAACTGTTGAAGCGATTTTGAATCGTTTGAGAAGAAGCTTCGCGATAAAAGGACTTAATAAACGAAGAATAACGTTGATACCACCGAAAAGACCAATTATCGTTGTAACAATATATATGAGATTGCTTCGCTCTTCATATGTGTATGTGCACAAAGTTGGACGACAGTTTCTGTAATAGGAATCGTAGGTCATGGACGAATTGATATACTCCATCATGATCTCGTTCGCAATTGTTTCGAGAGTCATGTTTGGCGAAAATCGACTGGGCTGATTGAGATCAAGCACACTAATATTCTCAGGCAGCTGGCTACCAAAATCCTTAAACCTTTGATACACTTCTTGAAAGCACTTGTTATTATACCAGCAAGAAAGTGATGATTTAAGTGCTATATCCATCATGAAACATCTTATTGATATATCCAGAGGTATATCAATGATTCTACTAGTATCATTTTTAACGGTGCAATCTATGTCTCTCCAACAGCTGCAAGCATTTTCGGTATTAAGATTGTATTCGCTGAAAGCGAAGTAAATTAGATATGGTTTTGGTGTTGATACCTCATCCAAATAATACATTTGAAACTCGCCATTCGTTGCCAAACCAGTCGCATATTGATTGGCACGAAGAATATCATTGACCAATAGGATTTTGTAGAGAAATTCGGCGCGTGTCGTTTCCAGAAACATTCGAACTGATGCATTTATTTGTGCAGTGAATATAGAACGCGAAAGTGCTTGAGCATTCACGAAATTAGTCAATAAAAATCGATTATATGCAGAAGCGAATGTTTGATTTGCCATCTTACAAAAGAAAGCCAATGCTTGAAAGTATGACGAACCAAGCAAGTAGAAGGAAACATCGAAACGGATCCACAACAGAAAAGATAATGATTGATACCATGAAGGCTGGACAAAGTCACTTGAACATATCTGATGATAAGTAGGGATGATTCGAATGAATTCTTTGTATGGAATCGAAATGAGGGTACACGGACATTGTAGAGTGTTTGGATAGCGTTCTTGTATCTCTTCATATTTATCTAGAGTTGGTAATTGGATAGTGATAGTGAAGGTTTGTATCGATTGTGTTGTGTATAAAATGAGAACAAAAATCTCCACGACTATCAATAGTATATAGACTCGAGTAGAAACACGTCCCTGACGAATTTCAATTTGATCTTGTGTGTTAACATTACTAAAGAAATTCAATTCGATCAGTTTTGTTTTGACTTTTAACAAAATGCTTCGCCATTTCAACCTCATCGGAATATCTAAAACAATCACAATGAAGAATCAGTTTCTTCTAATCTAATTGTCTTACTAGTTTGCACTTCAACTTCACTGGTTTGACATAATAACTTTCGTTTCAAAAAGATTAGACCATCGATAAAGTATGGAGTAAGAAGACGTAATACTGCATTAATACCTCCGACCAAGCCAAGAAGTGTTGTTAGAAGAAAGATCCAATCGAGTCGAGAAGAATACGTGAATGTACAAGAGATCGGAGCACATTCTTCATAGTAGGTAGTAAAAGAAGTTGTATTAAGAATCTTTTCGATGAAGAGTTGATCAATTAGTTGTTTAAGTATCACTTTAGGCGGAAAACGGCTGGTTTTTGCTTCATTTAGAATCGATATATTAATGGTACTTGAATAGGCCATGAGAAGGATATTCATGCAAGACTGATTGTAGAAACATTCTAGCGTTGAAGCAAATGTCATCAATGAAGGCAAGCAATCAAACATGATTCCCGGTAGCGTTACATTCGGAATGATATGGTTGAGATCATAAAATCCAAGTTGTTCAGTGCGATTGAACTGATAGAGACCAGATGGTGTTGGGCAAGACTGATCACGATGGCAAAAACATGACTGATTTCTTCCCGGAAGCAGAAAAATTGTCTGCGAAGTCAGTATATACAATGGAATGCCGTCATACCGTGACGTAGTACCTCCAATGAAATTCGTCTGTACACCTGCCATCAAGCCATTTACTTGGGCAACAGTTTGAACAGTATTGAGATCTCTTGCAAAGCGCTCGATTGCTGTTTGTCGGGCATTTTCAAGTACCGCTTGGATCTGAGCCTCTAAGTATATTCTAGAAAAAGCAGTATAACTGATCAAAGGGTCATTGGTGAGCTCTTTCAACGTATCAATGATAGCGTTAGTAGCACTTCGACAAAGAGCAGCGATTATTTGCCACATAGCACTCAGATTGGTGCGCAGATCCATTGGCCAAAGTGTGACCAGATTCTCTCCAAAAGTAAAATCGATCCAAGCTTGAGAGACGAAATCACTGTAACAAACCTGATGAAACAATGGATTTATTTCTACGAATCTGCCATATGGAATTGAAATTTGTGTGCAAGCACAATACAAAGTGTTTGAATATTTGCTTTCTAGTTTTTCGAATGTAGTGAGACTTAGTTGTTGCACAGTTTTAGTTTTGATTTGTTCACTTATTGATGTATAAGCCAACAGAATAAGGAGAGCAATACCAAACAGGATCAGAAAGAGACGAGTGGTAAGAATTTGGCGATGTATAATGGCAGGCTCTGTAGCTCGACTTTTGAACAGATTCAAATGAATTAGTTGTTCAGTTAGATTGTGATACAATCTTTGTAGTTGGTGGAGCATTGCCATTTCAAGAAGTACTACAGATAAAGGTAACTGTTTGCTTTTGAATGGCTTTTAATGTATAATAGTCTTTTTGTATGCGTGATATCTGAAATGTTCTCTGTAGAATAGATTTAAGGATCATATATTTGAGAGTGTGGGTGGGTGTAGGTGTGGGTATGACTTCATCTTATCTTAACTCACACCAACATCCACATCGTCAGTGGTGTGTACTTTTCGAGAAAGTTTCACGATGTTGTTCAATCGTCCTGTGGCACAGGTCTGAGCACACTGAAATGTCACTTTGTCAATAAACAGTATAGACCTATGGAAAATACCCTTTTTA